TATGAAGTTCTATCGGGGATTAATAATTGTTTTTATCTAGTACTTATGAGATTAATGGGGAGAAGAAGAACATGGCGGTCACACAGTTCGAACCCGCAGATGCGAGGCGCTGTTTTCCATGCTGGGACGAACCTGCCGTTAAGGTGTTTGAGTGTTTCACATTATTTTTCTTTTTCATTGCTAATGAATATTCGGCAATATGATGTTCTCCTGTTTCAAATCCTTATCTGATTAGTTTGATGAAACTCTGTTACCACTTTGATTGATTTGTTCGTCGTTAGGAAACCATGTGGATGCAATTATTTCATTCAAGTTTTATCCTTAAAATTTGAAAACAAAAATACCTTCATAGTCTAAAATTGATGTACRAGGGGAATGTTAATGGAGATGGAAATGAAATAATTTTATAAGTTAGCTCATTTATAATTCTTGTCTCTTTTTCGATTATCAATCTGTCTTAGGTAATGCGTTTATGCTTTCAAAATTCAAATGCTGTGGGAAACTACTATTAATATGATTTCATCCTGTGTTTCTTCCAAATGTCCACTCAAAGTTGGTGATTTACCAGTGCTTGTGACCATCGAAATATAATATTCTGATTGTACATATAAATAAGAAGTTATTTTCTCCCGCTTTACATGCTATTATGCTTATCATTGTTCTCCGTTTGTGCTACTTCCAGGTTTATTTCAATTCTATTTTGTTCCCTCCCCTATAAGAGTGGTGTTAGGATCATATCTGCGGGATTGCTGTTTAAATGTGCCTCAGATAAAACTAGCCAAGTTTATAATGATTGATAAATATTCCTAAAATCTTCGGCTAACACCCTGTGTTCCAGGCAACGTTCAAAATAACATTGGACGTGCCATCTGATCTGATGGCTTTGTCCAATATGCCAGTTGTTGAAGAAAAGCTTGATGGACATTACAAAACAGTTTTCTTTCAGGAGTCACCAATTATGTCAACTTATTTGGTGGCTATTGTTGTTGGCCTGTTTGATTATGTAGAAGATGCGACACCTGATGGTATAGAACTATGCAAGTGCTATCCTCCATTTCTTGTATAAGGGTTGCTTGCATTTCTGATCGCCTTGATCTTTGCATCAATTTTTAGGGGTTAAGGTTGGGGTGTACTGCCAAGTTGGTAAGGGAAATCAAGGAAAATTTGCTCTAGATGTTGCTGTCAGGACACTCGATCTATATAAAATGTATGTTTTCTTAACAACTTTTACTTATTATTGATTTCTTTTTGAGAGATCAGGTGTTTGCATGGTGCTTTTGGATATTCAGTGTCTAACATGCTTTTTTCAAGTTATACAGGTACTTTGATGTACCATATCCACTTCCCAAATTGGATATGGTTGCCATTCCTGATTTTGCTGCTGGGGCCATGGAGAACTATGGTTTGGTTACATATCGTGAAACAGCTTTACTCTATGATGACCAGCATTCAGCAGCTGCTAACAAGCAAAGGGTATGTAAAATAGTTTGAGATTTGATATGGATGTCAAAATTCACCATGTCATTCTATTTTAGAGTCATCTGGTCTATGTTAAGAAATGTCTCTTTGAATGTCTCATAACGWCAATTTGCTTCGTTTCAGGTTGCTATTGTAGTGGCCCATGAGCTGGCACACCAGTGGTTTGGAAATCTTGTAACAATGGAATGGTGGACTCATTTGTGGCTTAATGAGGGATTTGCCACATGGGTATACTGATGAAATCCTTTACCTCTATTATATACTGGCAGGATTGAAGATAATGTAGTAAATGCCCAATTGCCCATTAAACAACTGTGTTTTCAGGTGAGTTATTTAGCAGCTGACAAGTTGTTTCCCGAATGGAAAATTTGGACCCAATTTCTTGACCAAACTACTGAGGGTCTTAGGTTGGATGGGCTTGCAGAGTCACACCCTATTGAGGTAATTAACTATGATTAATCTTTCATCCAAGTGGTATGTTCCGGAAGTTGGATTACTTCTTGTTAGTATTTGCATTTTTATTTAATTCAGTATATGCTATTTTCTTAATATTTCCTACAATGCYCATGTTTCAGGTGGAGATTGGCCATGCTGGTGAGATTGATGAAATTTTTGATGCAATAAGTTATAGAAAAGGTGCCTCTGTTATCCGTATGCTGCAAAGTTATCTTGGTCCTGAGTGTTTTCAGGTTAGGCCATTTGGTTTCTTCTTTCCATGTTTCCCCTTACATGGTTCCCATAGTCTCTGTATATATATTATTTGATAATTCCATAGTCTCTGTATATCTTGGTCATGCTGTSGATGTTTTGTAACTATTAGACTAGGAGCTATTCATAACATTCCTTGGATGTAAAGTATTTGTAGACAATTTGACAGAATATGCAGTTAGAATCAAACGACAAATTATGGAGTTTGACTATGATACTGGAAAGGCATGATACCCAAAAAATTCGCAACCAATCAGCTGGTATCATAAAAGGGGTAACCATTCAGTTAGTTTTTCATCAAAATTTGCGCCCGGGGGGGGCATTGGTCAAAGTTCTTTTATCATTCCTTTCTAGCATCATAGATATTTCTCTAATTATGAGAAGAAATAAGAAATGTACAGCATATGAAACATTGAACTGCTCTTTCTTTTTGGATTATTTAACAACAGACATGGCACTGAATAGATAGGAATGGTGGAAGTTTGGAAYATGATTTATATATCTGACATATGGTTTGGAGGCTTTGTTGAGTTGAATATGGTGTTCTAATGTTTTAGGAGCTATCTTTCTCTTGCAATGAACATGATTCATGACATGATTTTTTTTTTCATGCAATTAGAGATCGTTGGCTTCATACATAAAAAGGCATGCTTACTCAAATGCAAAGACAGAAGATTTATGGGCTGCTCTTGAGGAGGGATCTGGTCAGCCAGTTAACATGCTAATGAACTCATGGACAAAGCAAAAGGGATATCCGGTTGTCTCTGTGAAGGTCAATGATAACAAGTTGGAGTTTGAGCAGGTTTGCTTATTACCCACTTCAAAGTGCTGTTTTCAGCCATCCAATTAGAAGCAACACTTATTAGCTAGTAGACAGCATGGTTTCTAGACATGCTCTTTTGGGTATATATTTCTTTTGAATTCACTTTCCGGATGACGTTTCTAGCATTGAAATCATGTTTACTTGTTTAGGTTGAAAATAGTTGGTTTCCATGCACAATTTAATTGTTCCAAGAATACAAATGCTTAATTGAAGAGAACAAGAATTATTGTCTTATATGCATGAGTAGGTAATTAGTTACATGCCAATTGAACACAAAGTCCTTCCTACAAAACCCTTGAAATCTGTAAGGCTGGAGCCTAGTCCATAAGAAAACTACCATGATCACTGCACAATCAAAGAGAAGTGCYATCCTTCCCTTCAAAGACCCTATTATTTGTTTCTTTCTAGATAGTCCAACAAATAGTAAAAGGTATTATGGCCCATGAGGCCACAACTAACATGTGCCCATCATCTCTTTTCTCTATTTACTTGATCCTCTAATTCTTAGTACTTGTTTTTACTAGTATAATGACTTCAAAGGCATTGCTTATGTTTCTTCAACATTTTTTTGTACTTCTATGAAGGTTAATTATCAAAACAAAGTTTCCTACTTTGGTATATAGCTTCAAAGAACCCTCTTGTGGTAGGATGCAGCTTGGGTTGGGTTGGGTTAGGTTAAGCATTTATCAAATTTTGAATGGGTCCAAAAGCTAATCCTAGCCTTATGTTGTTTTTTCCTAATAGGTAGCTCAATGCAATTGAAGTTACTCAATTCAAGGAACCCAACTTGCACCCCTGTCTCTTGGTTGGGGGGGGGGGTTAACTTCTTGACCCTTTAGAAGATTTCCCATCATTCATCCCTAAGTTCACCTCTTCTGCTCTCAAAGTCTGAGTTTCTCTTGTATTAGTCAATATATGTTTCTTTAAGGAGACTCTGACTGACCTAGACAATCTAATTAAGATTTGCTTCTTTAAATTTTTGCTCTATTATCATTTCCTTTTTGATCAGCAACCACAAAAAAATAAAGATTTTAATTAATGATTAAAGGAAATAGATACAACAAGAAGTTGTGAGCAATTAGCATGCCAGATACAAGAAACTGTGAGAAATTTGCTCTATTATTATTTCAGCAGCCAACCCCATATAGTTGGGAGCTTAGATGATGCCTAGCTTATAAAAAAAGGGGCTTAGGTGATGATATAAGGTATCAATGAGTCCTAGTGAAGATAGATTCATCAAAAAAAAAAAAAAATTATGATACCTTTCTGACCTCCTATTCTATGAGCTCCACATGACATTCCAAACCACAATTCCTCTATCCTTCTTGCTAGGCCYGCAGGTCAGGTTGCCTGATTTGAAGAACTTCAAMTACATTGGGCTCAGGTTAGGGTTCAAGCTCATTGAAAATTTAACAAATTCCCACCCCAACCTGACTCAATTGCACCTTTGTGCTGTGATTTCAAAAGACAATACCTTGTTTTGCAGGCAGTGCTAGGTAATAATTGCTGCCTAGGTGGTTTAAGATTACATGGCACTCAAGTCTAGCTGCTTTTCATTTTTCTCGTTATTAGGATTATATGAAAATGGTCTGCGGCGTCTACTGAAGCACTTGAGAAAATCCAATTTTACTTTGCTCTTTCTACTTGCTTCTGTTTCATACCTTCCTCTTCTTTCTCTACCATGTTTCGTTGCGTTGGAACTTTCCTCCTCATTTCTGCTTTGTTCATCTTCAAAGTGTCCAGGCATGTCTTTTCCAGTATTTCCTGATATTGCCCAAGCATTTTTGGCAAATTGTACCTTAGGCTCAGTTTGGAAGAAGTACAAATACAAATATGTACAATACATATACATATCAAATAATACAAAATACAAGGTTTTGCACTCTACGTATTTGTATTTGTACTCCTTTACTTTCTTCTTGTGGTCTGTCACAGTCATTGTTTTCTTTTGGATTTTGGATCTTGTTCAGAACATTTCTATATGTTTGTAAGAAAAGCTTACCAAGTTTTAAGTTAATGCCTAAGRCGATGAATCTTATCCCTTTCATTTGGTTACTTTTGCTTTATGTTGGGGATCTGAAAGGAATGTAACTTCTCAATTGATGTAGATAAGCTTACCTTTTCTTTACTTGATTCAATGCTCAACTCTAAAGGAATATAAAGACATTAGATTGCATATTTTTTAACCAGATGGATGCATTAGTGAAGCCAAGGTGCATAGACAACACRTATGCATCTTGGCCTAGTGAGGTGTCGACATCATCTTTGTAAGAGAGCCAGAAGATGTTTGAAATTTCTGACAACTAAAGATGTTGAAAAACTAAAGTACTACATATATAAATAACAAAAGATGAATTGAAGTTTTTTATTTTTAGAAAAGTAAAGATATTTTTAGTTCTCATGTTTCTGCTTTCCTGTTGGTCCACCCCAACTGTGCCTCCAAACAAAAGGTATGGGACCATTGTCTAAGAAAATAATCATTTAATCATATTAAGTATGCTAAATAACATGCAAAAATAATTAAATTATATACCAAATGTATGGGAATATTGTCTAGTTCTTATTTCTTTCCTTTTTACACTTGATATGAAATAATATCTATTAACTTCTATGSTTAAATAGATATYCCATGGTTATTTTTCAGTAGAAAGTCCATGGTACGAAATACAATTTTGTTATGATATTTTTTTTATGTAATTTATTATTTGGATGTTTTTATCTCACATGGTCTTAGCTATCCTTTTGATTATGCATTTGATTGTTAAATTTTATTTTTTCCCCATTGTCCTTGCTTCTGTGGAAACCTGATGTTTATTCATCATTTTCCCCCATATCTAAGCTAGTAGAGATCTGAGAGGTTTTATGCAAATTTGCAGGCACAATTCTTGTCAAGTGGAGCCCCTGGGGATGGGCAATGGATTGTTCCTATAACACTATGTTGTGGTTCATATGATACCCAAAGGAATTTCCTTCTACAAACAAAATCGGAAACACTAGATATAAAGGAATTTCTTGGTTGCTCATTTTCTAAAAACATATGTGTGGAGAAAGAAAATCAAGAGAAATGCAGCAAAAGCAATGCAGAATGCACTTGGATTAAGCTCAATGTTGATCAGACTGGTTTCTACAGGGTGAAGTATGACGATGAGCTTGCCACCAGGCTTAGATATGCAATAGAGGCTCACCATCTATMTGAGACAGACAGATTTGGTAATRTGGTGTTTTTGAACTCACTTTCTGATCTTTTATTCCTTGTTTTTGTAGTTATAGATAATGTTAACTCCAAGTTTATACTTTTATAGGTATTTTGGAAGATTCATATGCCCTTTGTGTGGCTTGCAAGCAATCATTATCCTCT